CAGGCATCTCACAATTGCCTGTAATCCAGCTCCAGGGCACCTGACATCCTCTTTTGGACTTCACAGGCGTCTACAACACATGTGGCATAAACACACACACACACACACACACACACACACACACACATACACACACACACACACACACACACGCTCAAATAAATAAAAATAAACCTTAAGAAAAACTAACCAAAGCAACAAAGCAACAAACATTATGGAATGTTCCTGAAAATGAAATCTATATTTAGTCCCTGTTTCTTTTCGACAGATTAATGAGAAAACAGAAAAAATTAATTCAATCTTTTACTATCTGAAACACTATGGCTGTGCGCGTGTGTGTGTGCGCGCGTGCGTGCATGTGTATCGCATGTGCAGGCTATTTTATAAACATTGAAAAGAATGTTTCCTAAGAATGGTTTAAGATTATTAAGAAAGCAATAACTTCTTTCTTAATAGGCCTGTAAGCTTGCATAACATTAAATTTTCAATTTTAATTGCAAACAAAAATATAAAACAGAAAGCATTTAAATAATTTGTATATCTTGGATCGGGGTAAAAGACTAGCTGTGTTCTTACAAGTTCCACTTGAGCTATCTGGGAGAGCAGCAGCATGAACAAAAATGTCTGTACTTGGACACTTTACTAATTCTTTGTTTGGTGTTCTTGACCATCTAAATTTAAGTAGCAATGTGCATTGATATGAAACTTGGATCCAAAGCATATGATGCAAGAATGTGCACACATTATTCAGAATTAGCTATAATTACTCCATAGGTTCATCTTACATCATGTAAAAGAAAGATTAACACAACTTCAGAGTAAAATGCAAATACTGAGAGTTTATGAGATTTCTTTCATGTGCCATAAAGATATTAAAAACCAAAAATGCCCCAAATATTGCTAATTCATTTGAGAGTTCACAGGATGGTACATTCATATGGAAACCTCACAGATCAGAATTGTACTGTTCGCAAATTATAGTTCAATACACCCTACTGTATTTTAAAAAGTTATTTCTATATGATTTTATGTATATGCATTTTATTTTATGTAGGCTTGTCTGTATGTATATATGTGAACCAAGTGCATGCCTGCTGCCTGAGGAGGCTAGTAAAAGGCACCAGTCCTCTGTGGAGCTGGAGTTACAGATGGTTTTGAGTCACTGTCACCATGTGGGTGTTGGGAATTGAAGCCAGGTCTTTTAGAACAGCAGCCATTGCTCTTAACCTCTGAGTCATCTCTCTAGCCCTACATGTAACTTTATGAATCAGATTTCATATCAAAGTAAAGCTAGTGTTTTCACTTAACAGGATTCTCAACTTTTACTTAAAAAAATACTCCATCTTTTAAATCATGATCTTAATTTTGATTTTAACTTTTTATTCAGAAAAATAAAAAGGTTATGCAGATTTAAAAGTATCAATTGCTTATCAATTCTACTTTCCACTTGATGTATTTAACATGGCACTATATAAAAAAATGTGCTTAAAAGAAATAGTACACATTGGTAAACTAAAATTTACATACTTGTATAGTGAGTATTGGCAGAAGGGAAAACCAAATATTATACAGGGGTCTGTTTGCAAACATTTGTCATATATATACGTGACAATTCCTATTTGTATACCAATATTTTCTATAAAATATTTGTCAATACATAAATGTGGTAAGGGGTGATCATTTTCTGTGATATAATTATTTTAAATTAGCACTTTAGTTAATAATTACTGAAAATTATAATAAAGCCCAATTATAGGAATGCTTTGGTCATTCAAAAAAACAAGTTCTAGACACTAAATAACAAAAGGGAGAGATTATTTTAGATCAGCACTCACTGAAGTTGATCAGTTAGAAACCATATTCTAGGCTCAAGGTCATGCTGAACATTTTCAGTGCCTTAATCATGCACAGTATGAAGTGGTAATAATGGCAGTGCAGGCCTAGATTAACAAGCTAATCACACCTGGTTCCACTGTTTTCTCTGAGTGCAATAAAAATGCAGCCTACCCAGAGCATTGGGGCTGCATTCACACACACTCATAAATTCTTGTAAATCCATGTTTGTTATTTGTTAGGGGTGTCCTTGTTTTTATTTGTTCATACAGGGGGAAAATGAAGTGATGAGTCCATTTATCCTGTCTGCTTAATTCTGTGATGTCTGAATGAAGAATACAGGCTAAGAATTAACAATAACAATTTTCGTTTCATCATAATGATACGGGGTATGTTACCAAGGATTCTGAGGAAGGACAGAGAGATCATCATTCCATGACACTCAAGCGAATGTAAATCTCATTGTCCAAAGACACTTGGAAGAAATCAGAGACATAATAATTACGAACAGTAAAAAAAAAATCTTTTCATTGATGAGTTTTCCCTCGACCTTTTTTCCTCCCCCTCCCCCATCCCAATTTACAGTAGCAACTTGAAATATCCTACACCTCTACGGACATATTCAAATGAAGGGAGGGAACAGAGACAATTACATACACCAGTTGGGCTTTTAATTCTGTTATCTATAAAACGGAAAGACTGGCTATCAGTCAAGCAGTGGTAGTGATCCTTAGACCTCTGCTTCCAACTGGCATCTTTAATCTCTAAGTTACTTTTCTTTTCAACACTTATTAATGCCAACAATAGGCAATAGTGTAGAGAAAAGCATTTGCCACTACAGATGTGAACATATGACTGTGCACTAGAGTAACAAAGAATACTGAGGCAATGGGCTCCCTTATTCAAACAATTTTTAAAATTAACCTCCATTCTTAGGGTGCTCAAACTGAAGAAACAGAACAGGTCTATCTCATATAAACATTGACCTTAATCTCCTGCCTTTGTGATGAACCTGACTTTCAAACACAAAATAATGACTTTAAGAAGTCCTCGAAACTTTCAAGCTAATTTGTTTTAGTGCTTTTATACCATAAGTCACAACAGAAAGAAAGACAGATATATGCCATCAAATTACCAGAAAAACGCCCTCTATTTTACTTTATTTAATATGACACATAAAGAAAACCCTGCACAAATATCTGTCTTTAATTTCTCTCGTGTAAAGAGGGACTACATGATGTTGGGCAGAAAAAAAAAACAGCTTGGGTACATTTTTAGAAAAGAGGAAAGGGAAGAAATCAGATGCATATAATGAGCCTTCAAAGCCATTCCAGCAGTAGAGATAAATAATTTAATAAAATCAACTTCATATTCTTTTAAAGTCTCCAGAGTAATAAGCACATATTAAAAAACAAAACTTTAACTTCATGAACAGTTTTGAGTAAACTAGCTGCTGGCAGATAATGAAAACACCGAGGACAGTGTGTATGTGAGCTCAGATCCCTTATGAGCTTCCAGAAAGTTGTCACTGGTGAAGTCAGTGAACTTGCAATTCAAGTTTAAATAGTCATTATCTGATGAGAGTTTACCAAGGCCAGTTGGACTGGGACTGAAAGAGGACGTGATCTAACCAGACTCTCCGAATTTGGCCGGATTCTCTGACTGTGGCTGACCCGAAGTCTTTCTGAAAAGCCATTGACTATGACACTGGGACCTGTTTCCTCTACATATAATGGATTTTGGGGATCCAGTCTGTTTGGACACTCACCTTCCTGGACCTGGAGGGAGGGGGAAGGAACTGGAACTTCCCACAGGGCAGGAAACCCTGACCGCCCTGGGGGACGAAGAGGGAGGAGGAGGGGGAGTAGGGGGAGTGGGAGGGTGTTGGGAGGGGGGGTGGAAATGGAAACTTTTATAATTTAATAAAATTTACTAAAAAAAAAAAATAAAAAAAATAAAAAAAAAAATAAAAAAAAAAAAAAAAAAAAAAAAAAAACAAAACAAAACAACAAAAAACCCAGAAACCTTAGGTTCTGTACCTCTGAACACAACACAGTTTTTCTTTACAGGAGACTGCATGAATGACTTTGCACAGGCCATGAAAGTGCACCCCCTCCGGGACAGTCACTCAGGAAGCTACGCTTCAGAAACAGTTGTCTTGTCCTTATTATTTGGGATGTTTCAAGTGTTAAAGTTCACAACACTTGTTTTATGTTCACAAGTATGGCTAGTTGTTATAATAACAGGCTTGTGTGTTAGCTGGATGTGTTTTCCCTAACTGTAATATTTTAAATCCAAGCTGCACTAGTTAAACCCTAAACATCATTCCAATGCAAGCATCTCAGTGGTTACATCATGAGATTCTTGGGTATTTCTTTTCCCTCCAATTAGGTCACTTTTCTTCAATTATCCTTCTATTATTAGCTCATGTCAAGGATGCCTACATGCATACCACTGGAAACAATTCACCATTTATGTCTAAAAACATGAGGCACACATAAGCTTTTCTTCTGATACTTCGTAAGACTATATTTTAAAAAATCGACTGGCATCAATCCAGTTCTTATACAGACTTTTCATACAATAAAACAGGTTTTATATCATTTGCGTATAACATCATCAGTTCAAACAATCCAATAAGTCGAATGATTTTTTAAATTAAAATTACGATAGTAGCTAAATAATTTACCAGTACAAAACATGTCTAATACCAAAACCTCGATTAAAATCAGGTGAACTACACAAAAATACATCGTTAATTTTAATTCCTCTCCATGGACAATTCAATTAAAGAAAGCATGGAGGGAAGGAAGCAGCCATCAGTGCAGTTTAGTTTTCCTTCAACAAGGAGGATGTTGAGATTGAGGAATGGATTCAGCTACAGGGGCAGTTCATTTCCCGGGCTCAGAGTAGCAGACGATCTGGGTAGCAGCAGCTAGAAAGACAAGCCAGTGTTGTTATTCTAAACTGCTGGGTCAACCCACAGCGACAATAGCCGCCGGGAGTCCAGTTTTATGCAAATCACTGCTAGCGTCGGGCGTGGTGGGTGCTTCTGGACCCGGTGGCCTGGCCTTCAAGAAACCTCACTACCCCGCAACATTCTAGGGCTAACGACTTTCGTGGTTCTCTTGCTCCAAGTGAAAAATCGTTAGGGAAGGGCCTCGGTTCCATCCATTAGTTTGCACAAAGTGCTTCGGTGTTTAGCTTCGCTTTAACCCAATTAAGCTGCACAGCGAGCCCAGAAAGATGCGCCACCTGCGCCAGGCTGCAGTCGGCGGCGACGGTATCCCAAATCCCTCTGTCGGACACAGGGAACTACCAGGGCCTCGGTGTTGATGCTACCTCGAGCTCCATAGGCCGGGTTGAGGCACCGAGGGCGCGATCTCGAGGGAAGGTCAGGGCCAAATATCCCTAAGCTACACAGAAGTCCCTGAACTCTAGGCCGGGGCCGCTCTAGGGTGGGGCGGCGGTGAGAGCAGAGTGGCACACGGGCACCGAGCGTGGTTCGCAGCAGTAGTGGAGAGTAGGGACACCCAGAAAGCTTTACAATTAGCCTGAGAGCAGATGAACCAAAGAGAGCTGGGGAACAAGCAAGGGTCGAGGGGAGAAGTTGCCTGGCGCACCCCACCCCGAGGACCTGCGCGTTCCCACTCCTTGCCGCACAGTTCTTTCTTGTTGGTTTTGTGCTCCGGGTTGCCTCCTTCAGCTGCCAAAAGGTAGCAGTGCGTTCACCCGCGACGCCTGCAAACTGGGGAGGGGCTTTGAGAATTCCTACTCCACTCTCCCAAGGGAAAAGAAGGTCTTGGGGGAATGGAATAAATGGCCATCCTAAGCCCCAAATATTAGACACTATTTTAATCTAAATCGGAATCTATTAGAGGTGGCCCCGTGACGTTTAAAAGTCGGGAGTCTTCAACAGGAGTCCATTAAAAGCCCTTACACAGGTGTTACTCTATCCTTATACTGGAAATCTTTTAATGCGAAACAGATCTCTGCACTAAAAGCAGGCAACTGAAATCTACTATGCAAGCCCTAATCACTCTTTCTTTAGCTCATGTGCACTGAGGACTCATCTGGTGATGGCACTGGCTAGCTCCCTAAAAAACCTCTTTAGCATTCCAAAAAGAAAAAAAAAGAAAGAAAAAAGAAAAAAGAAAAGAAAGAAAGAAAGAAAGAAAAACCTAAAGAAACAAACTCAAACCTGAAAGGTTACAAATTAATTTTTGAAGCCGTTGGCCATCTTCTCACAATCAAATTATGAAATTCCATAAGATTAGGAACCTATTGTTGGTCGCCACTAAAGATACCTGGGATGGGAGATCTGTCTTTATGTCTGCTTGAGCAAACAAGGTAGAAGGGCCACACCTTCAAGTTCTCAAGTTAAGCCCACTTCAGTGAATCGTCTAGATTCTGTCCAACACAGCTCATCTAAATCCCAAAGATCTTGTGGAAAGTATTCCCGAAAGAGCACCATACAGCTTTCACTGTGGTTTGTTATGTTAGCACTGGCCAACCCAGCTACAGACAAGGGGAACTGCAGATAGGTTGGTGAGCTTGTTTTAATCAGCCCTGTTTGACTGGGCAGATACTATCTACGGTACTCAGCGGTAATTTTTACATTCCTCTCAGTAAATGAAAATAGAGAAAACCTAGGTAAAAAGAGAACAGGTTTTGCCTAAGGTTTTGAAAAGTGTTCTGACTGGGGAACACCCAACATGGAGAAAAGCTGGAGAACTCTGAGATCTGAAGCTAGCAGTCAGTTAAGAAGCAAAACTTCTAGCGTGCATTAAAAAGATCCCAAGGATTAACACGCACTAATTACCTTACTCTAAATTTAAGCTAGTGACTTTGTTCTAAAAGGCTTCTTTGACTTCACTAATTGGTGAGTGACCACTGGTACACCTGGTAGCTCACCAGAGGTGAACAGACAAGCGGGCTTCATAGCACTGAGAGCCACTTCTCTTCGCCAAGTCTTTCCCAAGTGTCAATATGCTTCAAGTTATACCAAAGCCAGATTTCCTCTTGCTTTCCAACCTGTCTAGGTGGCCTGGGTGGTTTTCTGCCGGCAGCAGTTTCCTACCTTTGGTTTCTGGGCCTCTATCCACGAGGGGGGATTAATTAGCCGGGCTGAAGCTGGGGGAGGCTGTCGTGACGAGCCCAGTGGCGATTGGCCGCCCGCCTGCCTGGCCCTGCCTTTATAATTTCCACACGAGTGCATTTGGGCTTTTACACAAACCAACAGCAGCTTCTTCTGACAGACGCACACTCACCCCGACACACACTCGGCATACTTTTCCTCCGTCTGATTAACAGTCTTGCACACACCATGATTACGGGAAAACGTAAATAAATACGTAAAGGGGTGACTATTTTGACTACTGGAAGATCCTTGCGAGGATTCAGCGCAACTTTTGTTTTTATTACTGAGAAGGTGTTCTCTCCACGCATCTCTCTCAGAGGATTCTTTAGCGGAGGAGAGGGGGAGAGTGCAGCCTTTCACTTTAAGACCGGCTAGGCTCGCGGATAAAAGGCCGGCTGGGCAGGGCAGCCCCCACTGCAGCCTGACCGAAAGGCTAGGTGCCTTTTGCGCGTGGCCCCCTTTCACCACCGAAGTTGGCTCCAGCGCTAGCAGCCGCATTGGATCCCACAGCTTATTGTGAGACTCCGGTGTACAATCCGGATCTCTGCCCCAACATGATCGCGGCCCAGGCCAAGCTGGTCTACCACCTGAATAAGTACTACAACGAGAAATGCCAGGCCAGGAAAGCTGCCATCGCCAAAACCATCCGGGAAGTCTGCAAAGTGGTCTCCGACGTCCTGAAGGAAGTGGAGGTGCAGGAACCGCGCTTCATCAGTTCCCTCAACGAGATGGACAATCGCTATGAGGGCCTGGAGGTCATCTCTCCCACCGAGTTCGAGGTGGTACTCTATCTGAACCAGATGGGGGTGTTTAACTTCGTGGATGACGGCTCACTGCCTGGCTGCGCGGTGCTGAAACTGAGCGACGGGCGGAAGAGGAGCATGTCCCTCTGGGTGGAATTCATCACCGCCTCTGGCTACCTCTCCGCACGCAAAATCCGCTCCAGGTTTCAGACGCTGGTGGCTCAGGCGGTGGACAAGTGTAGCTACAGGGATGTAGTAAAGATGGTGGCTGACACGAGCGAAGTGAAACTGCGAATTCGCGATAGGTACGTGGTGCAGATCACCCCGGCTTTTAAATGCACCGGGATCTGGCCGCGGAGTGCTGCCCACTGGCCGCTTCCCCACATCCCCTGGCCAGGACCCAATCGGGTGGCAGAGGTCAAAGCCGAAGGGTTCAATCTGTTGTCCAAGGAGTGCCACTCCCTGGCCGGCAAGCAGAGCTCGGCGGAGAGCGACGCTTGGGTGCTGCAGTTTGCTGAGGCTGAGAACAGACTGCAAATGGGGGGCTGCAGGAAGAAATGTCTCTCCATCCTGAAAACCCTACGCGACCGCCACCTGGAGTTGCCAGGGCAGCCTCTCAACAACTACCACATGAAGACTCTGGTGTCCTACGAGTGCGAAAAGCATCCCCGGGAGTCGGACTGGGACGAATCTTGCCTGGGCGACCGGCTGAATGGAATTCTGCTGCAGCTCATCTCATGCCTGCAGTGCCGCCGGTGTCCCCACTACTTCTTACCGAACTTAGATCTGTTTCAAGGCAAACCGCACTCGGCTCTGGAAAACGCTGCTAAACAAACGTGGCGATTGGCAAGAGAGATCCTGACCAACCCAAAAAGTTTGGAAAAACTCTAGAGGATGATCTAATTCAGGGCCGTCAAGTTCACTCGGCTCAACGTCCTGACGAAATGAAAACTTCCTGGTTGATTCCTATTTCCTGAGACAGTGCAAACAATCTCTTCCTTTAAAAGGAGTAACAGCACAACATTTACGCATCATCTCACACACCCCTAAAAAGAGGAGAGAATGGAGTAGGGAAACACAGGAGAAAACCTACACCCACAAGCATCTTTATGCAGAAACTCCCATCTCCCCTGAAAAGTACACAAAACCCGAAAAGACCCAAAAAGACCTGAGCAACAACGCAAGACCTTGACCAACTCCATCAAAGGATTACAGCAATCTTGAGACTTAGGCGCATCTGCCTTTCAGTAAACAGGACCTGGATGTGCCATCGGAAGGAGCGAAAGGAGCGTGTAATGTATATTTTGATTTGTAATAAAAATTGTGATCTCATGTTGTCTTTGAAAGTGTGGATGTTGGTGTTTTGTGATTTGGTGAACAAAACTGAAATTGCCGTTTGGAAACTTCTAGACACTTTCCATGAACAAAGATGCATTTAAAGGTAGATTTCCTTCTGGTACTTAACCTGTCTGTGAAGTGTCTGAACTTTAAAAAAAAAGTTTACATTTTGTTTCAAATATATTGCTTGTTCTAACATTCCATAACTATACTTGAAATGTTATTTAAATATATTCAAAGGAATTTGAATTCAGCTTATATAATAACGCTTGAATATCTGAATTATATATATTTGAAAATGCACTTGAAATACACTGGATAATTACTTTTGTGATTTAGATTTTAATTTCTGTTGCTGATTTTATTTAATTAGAAGAAAATAAATGAAGTAAAATACCCAATTGTTGTGTCTCATTTTAAATTGTTTTCTGTCAGGAGAACTAATGGTTTCTTTTGAAAATCAACTCAATTCTTTTAAAGATTTTGACTAACAGGCTAATAAAATCACTAAAAATACACACTAAAGGGGCTCTTTTTTGAATAGCTATAGAAAATATTCATTTCCTCAGTTTCTAATTTACTAGCTGGCTCTTTTCTACAACTGACACATTTATAATCCACTTTTGAGACCCTGCTTCTGATTAGTATTTCTGTAGTTTTTTGACAATGTAAGGGGGGAAACCTACCATGAGCAATATTAGTGAATTTAAAAGCAGCAAATTCTAAAAAAATTAATTTAAGTTATAAAAACTCTGAAGTTTGTATATGAAATCCAAACAATAAAATGAACATATCTTTTAGCTAGTACACTTTATCACCCTATTTTAACACAACAGGAGTTATTAGAATAAATTAATCAGAAAACCACAATTTATTTTTACTACATAGGGAAAGCTAACGACAAAACATAAAGACAAGTTCTTGTTTAAACACAGCACACTCACACATCCCACACCCATGGCTTTAGGATTCTTTGGTAGCATCTTCCTGATCAACAAGTGCTGAGAGGCCTCCACTAAGGTTCTGCATTAGTTAACTCATGTGTCAGTAAACTTGAGAATTTTCCTTGTTCATTTACAAATAAGATTCTATAATGTGCCAATTCTGTGTATAACTTAAATATAAATAATAAGGCTCAAGTCTATTTTAGAAAAGTTTTGAAGTGACTTATAGGAAGCTCTTTTTAAAAAGATGGTAGAATATTCATTAGAATAGCCCATTATCTCAACCTCTTACCCTAAGAAGAAATTTACAAGACTAACAGTAAAATAAATAAGAAACCAGTGAAATGTATCTCAGAAGGGTGCTTGTCTGTAGGATTTCTCTGGAGGCCAGGGAGGCTAAAATCCACAAGGTAAGATTTAGATTATATGTATGCCATGTCAATGCTCCAAATGTGCGCCTTCTGGGATGGTTTGTGAGTACTAGTGTATGCTGTGTGTACATATAAATCAAAGTTTAGAAAGAATCTGCTTCTCCTCCTTTTAAATCCATATGTAAAATCCATTTAATTCAGGAGATGAAAAATGGATGTAATAATGGAAATGAAATTATATGTAAATGGCTCCTGCCCCAGTTTCATTATAACCTTTCAATAAATAATAATTCATATTGGAGTATATACTTTTGAAATTAAATGTGATGTTAACACAAAATTTCACAAGATCTATTCTAGTCTTTCCAGGAACTGCGCCACTGTACCCCAGAGATCTGGGAGAAACTCGCTTAAACACCAAATCTGCCCAAGTGCACATAAAGGCACATAGGAAGACTGCTCAAATGCACATGCTCTGTTACGTAAGTTTAGGATTTAAGCTCATTAATACTATCTTTAATTCTGAAAGAAACCGTGTGTTATTTCATTAATTTTATTTTCTATAAGAAAGATGAGAATATGTGTACCTCTTCAGTAATTTAAAACCAAGAAAAACTGAAAAACACATCCTGCCATGAAAGCCATCAATGCTGTGCAGTCTAACTCACTTTTGTGTCGATCTTCTTGAAGGCAGCATCATCCTCATCTACCTCAAAGTAGATTTCTGTTGTGGTGATGGAGAGAGTTCCTTTGGCCACCACCACAGGAGCAATGAGCTGGGCAGGGGTGCTGAGAACCACAGGGCCTGCAAGACAGGGGCAGTGAATCAGTCTGGGCCTCTCTGGTGCTCCTAAATTCCCTTCCAGAGAGTATAGTGAGGTTTTATTTTTTAAAGATGCACTAGGAAAAACTAACAATTTTATGCAAAGTCTTTTTATGTTAGGTAAGGTATGTTTAGCATCTATAAACCTTAAAACTGGACGAGTAATTCTATAAAAACTCAAGAATTCAGGGTGTTGAATAAGAAATCCATAACATGCAAATTTGCAGCCTCTGCCTAGAAATCTACATGGTTGGTGAGGCACTGCCTTTATCCGACTTACAAATGCTGATCAGAACGGATGCTTCCTGTGCTCTGCTTCTCCAAGGAACATGACTTGCTCTCCAAGAGACCCTAGGCAGTGAGTAATGCCCCCAAAGACCAACCATCTCATAAGTCAATCCTTTTGGCAGCGCCTCGACCCCCAAGGAGAGGTGATAGAGGCGAAAGGTTTGGAAAGCAACTAAATATACAAATCCCAAGGGCTAGTATTTTACGGAAGGATTGTTTTAATTTTGGCGTGCTAAGGTGGTACATTCACTACTGGGAGTACAAAGCTACTGGGTTCTTATGAAGGAAATAACGAAAACCTTGGCCGTCATTTTCTCACCAGAGCACACCAAAGATGAAAATGTGAGAAAAACGCCGTAACAAAACCGTTCTCGGAAAGGGGGTTAGAAAGTGGAATTTCTCATCTTTTGGAACCAGAGAAATAAGGATTCAATAGATTTTTGTTAAGTTTGCGTACCAGATAGAGTGCTCACTCCGAATTTCTTCAATTATAACAATGATTCGAGGGGAAATTACTTGAAACCCCTTTCTCTTCTCGCTATTGGTCTAAATATACGACAAAGAATTCAGAAATAACGTGGGCTTTGTTGATTTCTCTTAGGTTCTAGGGAGCAAGTAACAGAACCCAGTCATTAATGCCCGCCCTTTGCTGCACACAGCAGGAGACAGGCAAGCGGGGAGTCTCGCGCGCTCGCTGCAGGCCCGGGCCTGAGCCGGGAAGGTTCGTGGAGCCAGCGGTCCGGAGCCCGGCTATTTCTGAGAGGAGACTCGGAGGCCTAGGCCGGCTTTGGTGCGGTTTACTGAGTCTGGTCCGCAGCAGACTAAGTGGGGTCGCCTTCAGCGGTGCTACTGCCTGGCAGAGTAGCAAAGCGGTGCCGGGCTCCGGGTGCCGCCAGCGGAGTTGGGTCCTCAGCTACTCGCCGAAGGTTTTTTTCTTTTTTTCTTTTTTTTCCAAGGGGCGAGGCGGTCGGTCTGGAGCGCCACTTTAAAGGCTCATCAATCTTAATCTAGGTTGCTCAAGTAATTATGCTCGAATCTCTTGTACGATTACAAGTGGATTTGGGTTTCTATTCCCCAGACCCTCCTTTGTGTTTATTGGAGGGTCCGCGCTAGCCGGCGCCTCCAGCCCCCGGGGCCCTCCTCGGATCCCCCGCGCCCGCCCGCGGGTTCGAACCGCTCCCTTAACCCTTGCGCCTCCGCAGCGCGGCACCCGGCGCGGGTTTCCTCGTTCCCGGTCCAAAATGTTTTGTTGTATTCACATTTGAAACAGTATTAAACAACTGGGGCTTGGCAAAAAGACAAACAAACAAACAAACAACCACTACCTAGGAAAGTTCATTCTAAACACCGACGAGCAAGCTTTAGATTTTTAGAAGTCTGACATTTGGAAAAAAACAATGGTCCAAAAACATTAAAGATGGCGAGCTGCTTCCTTCTCCTAAAAAGTAATTTAACATATCCAAACAACAAATTTGTTTGAAACTGGAAAAAAATAAAAAAGATCACGAGTGGAGTTAATCAAACTACTATACTCTCTGGTTTACTGAAATACTGCACGAATTTTACGAAAACAGCTCGGGAGTTTTTTAGCTGGGAACATATTTCTAAAACGGAACTGCGCTTCCTTTTGATTCTTCTCTAATTTTTCTATTGAGTTGAGATTTTCTGGGAGTTTATAAAAGGATTTCTTTAAGAAAGACACATCACGGAACATTCAACCTTAGATGCATGTCCCCCCCCCCCCCCCAACCCCTGCAAATCTCCAATTACAACTCCCAATTCCGTAGATTGTTGGAGGAGTGCAGGGCCTTTTTGTTGTAGCCTCCGGGGAGCAGAGCAGCCAGAGAGCACACAGTTAATCCACTGCAGCAATAGAGAAAGGGGATTAGCTTTAATCCCCTTCGGGGAGCCTCTGGATTTTAGGGATCCTATATTAAAATGTTTACATAAAGCACAATCACAAGCCAGCATGTTTTCCATATGGTACCAAATGATTTAGAAACCTGGGATCTTTTTCCAGAGTGTTTTGAAGGGCAGTATCCCTGGTACTAGGAGATACTTATCTACCGACTTCATTTCTAGCGCCCCTCCCCCATCTCAGCACTATGGGTTTAACCTCCAGAACTTTTCTTGGTATTGTGAATTGAGAACTGACTGTAAATACATCCATTCCAATAGCTACCCTAATAATGAAAGAATAAATTACAATGATGTCCTCAGCACACACAGAACAGTAATGTTACAAAATGTAAAAGGTCTATTCCTATTATATTGGCACATATGATAACTTAAGACTCTCCCATTAATTTAAAACTCTACCATAAATAATGATAATTAAAAACAAACAACAAAGCAAATGCTATTTCTTACATTGGCCATGGGTCCATGACGGCTTTTAGAGGCAGGCTAGGGGTGCTTCTTGCCATTATTCTCGAACCAGAGCCACAAGGTATCAGAAAGGAGCCGAGAAGAGCTTTCTTTTTGAGGCCATGCTTCTTCCAAAGACATAGTAAACCTCACTGTATACTGACGTGTCATAAGTATATATGCTCATGGAATGTATTTTATTTCCAGACAGGGCTTCTTTGTGTAACAGCCCTGGTTGTTCTGGAACTTGTTTCGTAGATTGCCTGCTCCTGCCTCCCAAGTGCTGGGACTAAAGGCTTGTGCCACCACACATAGCCACTGAATATATCTGAAAAGAATGCCATTGATATATTTTTAAAAGAATGCTAATTACTTGTGAGTTTGGATTATGTTGCTGAAAAATCAAAACTCCAAGGCTAGAAATCAATAAAAAAAACACATTAGCATCTCAATACAACCTTACAATTTACAAAAGTCTTTCTTTCCCATCTCCATTGAGGTAAAGGTCACACTATTCA